TCAATGCTATCCCCATCAAGCTACCATTGACTTTCTTCACAGAATTGGAAAATCTACTTTACATTTCATATGGAACCAAAAATAGTACACATAGTCAAGACAATCCTAAGCAAAAAGAACAATGCTGGAGACATCACACTACCTGACTTCAAACTCTACTAGAAGGCTACAGTAGCTAAACCAGCATGGTATTGGTACCAAAACAGATATACAGTCCAATGGAACAGAACAGAGGCCTCAGAAATAACACCACACATCTACAACCATCTGATCTTTGACAAATCTGACAAAAACAAGCAATGGGAAAGTGATTTCCTATTTATTAAATGGTGTCGGGAAAACAGGCTAGCCATATGCAGAAAACTGAAACTGGACCTCTTCCTAACACTTTATACAAAAAGCAACTCAAGATGGATTAAAGCCTTAAACATAAGACCTAAAACCATAAAAACCCTAAAAGAAAACCTAGGCAATACCATTCAGGACATAGGCATGGGCAAGTGCTTCATGACTAAAACACCAAAAGCAATGGCAGCAAAAGCCAAAATTGACAAATGGGATCTAATTATAAAATAGAGCTTCTGCACAGCAAAAGAAACTATCATAAGGGTGAACAGGCAACCTACAGAATGGTAGAAAATTTTTGCAATCTATCCATCTGACAAAGGGCTAATATCCAGAATCTATAAAAACTTAAATAAATTTACAAGAAAGAAACAGCCCCATCAAAAAGTGGGTGAAGGCATTTTTTGATAATCTAGATATCAGATAACATGATGATTATCTAAGATTGTGGACAATCCCGAATCAACTGACTACCATAAGCAAAATGCAACTAAATTCAGTATGTGATTCCTGAAACCACGGAGACTTGGTTTACTAGGCAGTTGCTTTTGGTTGTGATTTTTATTTGTTTTAAAGTGAAATTCAATCAGTATGTCTATAGAAAAACATCTGACTATGTCTGCATTCCTAGGTATTTGACAGGCATCTTCTATATTGCCTGACCCTCTTCCGTGTACCGGGTACATACTTTAAACAAACTAAATGCCCCACTCAGGTGGCTATTACATGCTAGTGGTGGTGAAGTTAGAGGGAGACAGAATATTACAAAAATAAACATGGAACATTAAAAAACAAAAAGTGGGTGAAGGATATGAACAGACACTTCTCAAAAGAAAACATTTATGCAGCCAACAAACATATGAAGAAAAGGCATCATCACTGGTCATTAGAGAAATTCAAATCGAAACCACAATAAGATAACCATCCCATGCCAATTAGAATGGTGATCATTAAAAAGTCAGGAAACAACAGATGCGGGAGAGGATGTGGAGAAATAGCAACACTTTTACGCTGTTGGTGGGAGTGTAAATTAGTTCAATCATTGTGGAAGACAGTGTGGTGATTCAAGGATCTAGAACCAGAAATACCATTTGACCCCACAATCCCATTACTGGGTATATAACCTAATGATTATAAATTATTCTACTATAAAGCCACATGCACACATATGTTTATTGCATCACTATTCACAATAGCAAAGACTTGGAACCAACCCAAGTGCCCATCAATTTTAGACTGGATAAAGAAAATGTGGCACATAGATACCATGGAATACCATGCAGCTATAAAAAAAGGATGAGTATATGTCCTTTGCAGGGACATGGATGAAACTGGGAACCATCATTTTCAGCAAACTAACACAAGAACTGAAAACCAAACACTGCATATTCTCACTCATAAGTGGGAGTTGAACAATGAGAACACATGGATACACGGAGGGTAACATCACACACTGCGGCCGGTCGGGGTTAGGGGGCTGGAGAGGAAAAATACCTAATGTAGGTGACAGGTTGATGGGTGCAGCATGGCACGTGTATACCAATGTAACAAATCTGGACGTTTTTCACAAATACCCCAGAACTTAAAGTATAATAAGGAAAAAATAAACACTTTATGTGAAAAAAAAAATTCCTTAGGAATATACCTAACCCAGAAGGTGAAAGACCTCTACAAGGAAAGCAATCTACACATTCAATGCAATTCCCATGAAAATACTAATATCATTCTTCACAGAATTAGAAAAAACAATTCTAAAAGTCATATTGAAGCAAAACAGCCAATATAGCCAAAAAGAATAAATCTGGAGGCATCACATTACCTGGTTTCAAACTATACTATAAGGCAATAGTCACGAATACAGCATGGTACTGCTATTAAAATACACCCATAGACCAATGGAACAAAACACAAAATCAGAAATCCAAATACAGCCAACTGATCTTCAACAAAGTAAGCAAAAATATAAAGTGGGGAAAGGACACCCTTTTAAACTAATGGTGCTGGAATAATTGGCTAACCACATGTAGGAGAATGAAACTGGATCCTCATCTCTCACCTTATACAAAAATCAACTCAGGATGGATGGATGAAGGACTGAAATCTAAGACCTGAAACTATAAAAATTCTAGAAGATAACATTGGAAAAACCCTTATAGAAATTGGCTTAGCCAAAGATTTCATGACCAGGAACACAAAAGCAAATGCAATAAAAACAAAGATAAATAGCTGGGACTTAATTAAACTAAAGAACTTTTGCACAACAAAAGGAACTGTCAGCAGAGTAAACAGATAACCCATACGGTGGGAGAAAGTCTTCACAATCTATACATCTGACAAAGGATGAATATCCAGAATGTACGAGGAACTCAAATCAGAAAGACAAAAACAAACAATCCCATCAAAAAGTGGGCTAAGGACATGAATAGACAGTTCTTAAAAGAAGATATACAAACAGTCAACAAACATATTTAAAAAATGCTCAACATCACTAATTATCAGAGAGATGCAAATTAAAACCATAATACCACCTTACTCTTGCAAGAATGGCCATAATCAAAAAATAAAAAAAATAGTAGATGTTGGCATGGATGTGTTGAACAGGGAACACTGCTACTCTGCTGGTGGGAATGTCAACTAATGGAAACATTGTGGAGATTCCTTAAAGAACTAAAAGTAAAACTACCATTTGATCAGCAATCCCACTATTGGGTATCTACCCAGAGGAAAAGAGGTCATTATATGAAAAAGATAGTTGCACATGCATGTTTATAGTAGCACAATTTACAATTGCAAAAACATGGAACCAACCCAAATGCCCATCAATCAACGAGTGGATAAAGCAGCTGTGATATATAAATATCTGTGATCTATCTATCTATCTATCTATCTATCTATCTATCTATCTATCTATCTATCTGTGATATATAAATATATCTGTGATATATAATATCTGTGATTTATATATATATATCAGATGGAATACTACTCAGCCATAAAAAGGAATGAATTAATGACTTTTGCAGCAATCTGGATGAGATTGGAGACTGTTATTCTAAGTTAAGTAATTCAGGAATGGAAAACCAAGCATTGTATGTTCTCCTAAGTGGGAGCTTAGTTATGATGGATACAAAGGCATATGAATGATACAATGAACTTTGGGGTCTTGGAGGAAAAGGGTGGGAAGGGTTTGAGAGATAAAAGACTACAAATAGGGTGCAGTGTATACTGCTCAAGTGATGGATGCACCAAAATCTCTCAAATCACCATTAAAGAACTTACTTATCTAACCAAACAGCACCTGTTCCCCAATAACCTATGGAAATAAAAAAAATTTTAAAAAATCTGTATAGGCATGTTAAGAAAAGGAAAGACAGAAATACCATTCATCTCAGCAATCCCATTACTGGGTATATACCCAAAGGAACATAAATTATTGTATTATTAAAGACAAATGTATGCATATGTTAACTCCAGCACTATTTACAATAACAAAGACATGGAATCAACCTAACTACCCATCAATGATAGAATGGATAAAGAAAATGTGGTACATATACACCACGGAATACTATGCAACCATAAAAAAGGATGAGATCATGTCCTTTGCAGGGACACGGATGGAGCTGGAGCCTATTATCCTTAGCAAACTAACACAGGAAGAGAAAACCAAATGCTGCATGTTTTCACTTATAAGTGGGAGCTAAATGATGAGAACACATGGACACATAGTGGGGAACAACACACACTGGAGTCTACTGCAGAGTGCATGGTGTGAGGAGGGAGAGGATTGGGAAAGATAAGTAGTGGGTACTAGGCTTAATACCTGGGCGATGAAATAATCTTTATAAGAGACCCCCATGACATGAGTTTACCTATGTAACAAACCTGCACATATGTCCCTGAACTTAAAATAAAAGTTAAAAAAAAAAAAAAAGATTCTTGTGTCCCATCTCGGATCTACAGAATCAGAATCTCAAAAATGAGCCATAACCTGCATTTTAACAAGCTCTACAATTACTGTGGTACATACCGATGTTTGAAAAGTACTGCCCTAGACACTCTGACCTCAGGCCGTTATAGTGAGTCCACACACTTAAAAATAAGCGTCTTTCCAAGTACTTAAAAGATTCAAAGTGATAGTGGATCTGAAATGCAGCCTGAATCCCCATGGCAACGTGTACACTGTAGGGCCCAACCAATAAAGATAAGAAAAGCTTTGGCGGTCAAGCACACTTGGGAAGCTGCAGTTTCTAGAACTGTCTAGTAGAGGACAGGCTCTTCAGCAGTCTGCTAAGCATTTTTTACTTCTTCCTTCAGTTACGCAGACAAGCTAACTGAAGATGCGGTTACTGAGGTTTAATTTCTCTGCTGGGTCACAAAGTCTGAAAACATGGGCTTTATGTGTGTAACTGTGTAGCATCACTTGCCACCCCCAGTTTTTCCTGGCTCTACCAATCACCCAAAGTTCTGAATGCAGAGGCCTCAGGGGCTCCCGGAAGACACTTCAAGCTGGCATCCCTGGCCTCGCTGCGGGGGCTTAGCTACCTGTGGAAACCCACGTAGCAAGGGTGACTCAAAGGGTTAACAAGCAGTGGCGCCTCAGAGTGGCGGGGAGTGAAGCCAATAGGGTGTTTAGGCAGGCAGTACGTCTGATGTGGGCGGGAGTGAGCCAAAGTGTGCTAAAGGAAACCAACAGCGGCCTAGGGGTGAAAGGACAGCCAGGGTTAGATGTTCTGAAGAGGCGGGAGCAACCGAGAGAGCACGTGAGCATCTGTCCTTTCTACCTGTTCCTCTTTATCTTTAGTGTTCGGTAGCAGCGGGGATAGCCCAGGGCCCGGTGTATGGCCACGGAGTTACAGTGTCCGGACTCAATGCCCTGTCACAACCAGCAAGTAAACTCTGCCTCAACCCCAAGTCCCGAGCAGCTGCGACCTGGCGATCCGATCCTGGACCATGCAGGGGGAAACAGAGCCTCCAGGGCCAAGGTGACTCTCCTCACGGGGCACACCCATTGTAGCCTGCCTGCCGAGCTGGACGCTGGGGCCTGCGTCGGCTCCAGCCTCAACTCAGAGAGCAACAGTGGTAGTGGTGACAGTAGCAGCTATGACGCACCAGCTGGCAACTCCTTCCTAGGGGACTGCGAACTCTCCCGGCAGATTGGGGCGCAGCTTAAGCTGCTGCCTATGAATGATCAGATCCGGGAGCTGCAGACCATCATCCGGGACAAGTAAGCTGAGAGCGGAAGGGGAAAGGGAAGTGGAGGGTCTTGCAGGCTGTGGGCGGGGATTGGAAGTAAAAGGGCTAAGAGATAGTGTTCTTGGCCTTGGCAAACTTTGGAGATTGGGTAAGACCTTTTATTTGGGGGGTGTGTGTGTGCGTGGTGTGACTGGAACGCCAACCTTCTCTTTCCAAGTTCCGGTGTTTAACATCACTTTGGGTGGGGAGGAAGACTTTAGGTAGCCTCTGGGCTCTTCCTCTCCCAGAGAAGACAACTCCTTGGCCATTCCAGGCAGGTAAACTCCCCTATACTATGTGCCAGTGCTTGTCCACATGGTAAACCTCTAACCCAGAAAGGGTTACTATAGGTTATGCACTACCACCAATCACCTCAGGCTCATAAATAGAAATAAAGCAATTTCAAAGAAATTCTATTCAGGCCCTGACCCTTTAGTATTTGCTACTGCAAACAAGGTCTTTTAGTCTTGGAGTTCAGGTTTACTTGGTCACATGAAAGCTTATCGTCCAACTGTTATCAAGATTTTTCACTGTAAACTCACAGAACATAGTTAATGGATCAAAGGGAGCCTAAAGGAGCCTTTGGCCCCTCCTAATCCCACAAACCAATGTAACCAGAACTTTATGTTAAAATGTTATTTTGAAATTGCTAAACCTACATTGTAAATGGGTTTTCCCCAGGGAAATATGTACCATGATGAACTACAGCCATTTTCTTTATTGGCAGCACTGTAAATCAGCAGCATGTCAAAACACGCCTTTTTCAGTGGCAGGGGTGGGGAGGGCATGCCTTGATCTTTTAAAAATGGCTACTGAATGACAGATGCCACTCCCAAAACCAGACTCTAGAAACGTTTTCTTACATTATTGTAATAATACTGTTTCTCTGCTTGCAGTTTTTCCTCTCTTCCACATGCACCCATACATTACTATACAATCAATCTTCATAGCATACATCTTTGATTCAGTAATTGCCCTGCTCAGCAACCTTCTTTGGTTTCTCAGAGCCTACCAAATAAAGTCAGGATCCTTAGCTTGATTGATATTTTTGAGACAGGATCTCTCTCCATTCACCCAGGCTGGAGTGCAGTGGTGAGATCAGAGGTCACTGTACCCTCATACTTCTGGGCTCAAGTGATCCTCCTGCCTCAGCCTCCTGAGTAGCTGGGACTATAGGCCATGTCACTGCCCCCGGCTAATTTTTTATTTTTTTGTAGAGATGTAGGTCTTGCTATATTGTCCACGATGGTCTTGAACTCCTGGCCTCAAGTGATCCTCCTGCCTGGGCCTCCTAAAGTGCTGGGATTACAGGTGTGAGCCACCATGCCTGGCCCCCTTACCTTGGGATTAAGGCCCTTCTTCATAATTCCCAGGAACAATTCTGAAGCATATCTGTTTCTGCTCTCATCTGGAATTCCCTGTGTCTCCTTTATGCACGTTCAGGATACTTATTCTTCAAGGTGAAACACAGCATTAAATAAATGTCCACCTCTGCCAAGAAGCTTCCCTTTAATCATTATTTCTGTCTTATCTTCCCTTGTCTTTTTAATGCAAGATTCACCTTCTATTTCATATATTGTTATTTTTGTATAGATCTTATCCTGCCTATGACATCTTAGACTTGAGGGCAGAAATCTTTTAAATTTTTGAATGCCAGCCATGTCTTGCAAATAATAGATGCTCAATGGCTAGAGGTTTTTTTTTTTTGTAGCTTTTAAAATTATATTTATGAAACTATATGATTTTACTCTTTTTAATGAATCAATACGGAAAACTACTGTGGTTATGTTATCTAATAGACAAAATAGTGATCTTTAAAAATAGGAGGCATAGGTTTGGTGTAGTTGTGGTAGGGTAGGGGCAGCCAAAATAAATCTTACATGTACAACAAAGAAAAATAGATGATGATTCTTGTCTGTGTAGAGCAGGAGTTACTAAGCTTGGGTCTTGGACTCCCTCATACCTGTAGATGGGGTTCAGGGCTTTAACAAACCCTCATAAATTATCTGGAAAATTTTACTCATATGAGGATTTGTAATAGTTGTTTTTAAATAACATCTTTATTGAGACATAATTCACAGACCATACAGTTCAAGAATTTAAAGTGTGTAATTCAGTGGTTTTAAGTATGTTCACAGCTGTGCATTCATCACCACAGTTTTAGAACATTTGTCATCACCCCAGCAAGAAAGCCCATGCCCATTAAACAATCACTCCCCATTTTCACCCAACCCACCCAAAGCCCTAGACAATCATTAATCTACTTTCTATTTCTAATGGTTTGCCCATTCTGCACATTACATATAAAAGAATGTCTATTCTGGACATTTCATATCATACAATATGTGGTCATTTTGTGACTCATTTCATTTAGCATGTTTTCAAAGTTCATCCGTGTGGGATCATTCCTTTTTATGGTTAAATGATACTCCATTGTGTGAATATACCACAATTTGTTTATCCATCAGTTGATGAACATTTGGGTGGTTTACCACTCTTTGGCTATTACGAATAATGCTGATACGAACATTCACATGTGTGCCTTTTTTTAGAGGGTGAGGATTCCTTAGCTTTTATTAGATTTCATAAAGTGTCACGATAATGTAAAGGTTAAGTTCCATTGTATAGAGCTTGGAGAGGGAATGGCATTTAGCATTCACATATGACAAAATAAATACCCTATTATACTTCATTAGTCAGAAAAACCTGGGTTATGTAGTAAACCTGGGTGTAAGTGGAATCCTTTTTTTTTTTTTTCCTCTGAGTTTGGAAGGAGATGGCAGGATCCAGAGGAGTGATTTAGGTAATATGTTTAGCATCTCTGTGCTTCACCTTTATCATCTGTAAAATGAAGATGTTGGTAAATATCACATGGAGTCCCTGGGAGGTTAAGGCAAGATACTGTTCATGAACATTCATTATCAACTGTGAAGAGCTGTTCACATTTAAGGAATTTCAAGCCTCATGTTTGGATTTGTGTATGCTTCTAATTGCATTCATGAGTGCTGTCTTCTTGATTTGTCAGAAGACAGTAAAAGGAATTTAACTCTGTGGAATTCATGTTTTTATTTTGAAAATCAATATTGGGATATCATAGATAATTTTTATCTTGTTTTGATATAGTATGGAAAGACCCACGACAATATTTGGTAATGTATTGATGCTTATTTAGGCTGGGGACATTGTTTTTAGTTTTGTTTTTGTTAACCAAATTAGAGGCTTTATATTCCCTTTCTTTATCTTTAAAAAATTGTCATCCTCTCACACAAGACCTGTTTTAGCCCCTCTAGGATGCTGGTTTAAGGTGCCTATGGTAAGAGGAGCTATATTTACATAGGTCTAGTTATGGAAGGTGCCTTCAGTCATTATAACCTGTTCTCTTTCGGGCTTATTCTCTTCTCTATTTTGATGTGACAGCATAAATGTGTACTGTGGAGCTGTCTGATAATAGAATCCACTGGAGTACATATTTTTTCTTTTATTGTTTCTGGTCCTTAGCATCTATCTAGTGAAGGGATTGCTTTGTGAATTGACTTTGGATGGGGAAATCGGGATTGACCCAGCAGGACTGCATGTTGTTGTATATATATGTGAAACAGGCAAGATTGAGAACATTGTCTGTATTGATTTAAAATGTCTTTTTAAGTTTTGAAATGTGCAATATTTGAAACATAACATGTTGGTTGTATTATTGAATTTCAAGGAAATAAATTTCTCTCTTTCAAAGTGCAGTAAACACTGAGTGAGTAGATTATTTGCTCAGCCATACATATGTGGGTTGCTGGTGAACTTGGGATAAGAAAATATTCCTTCATTTATGTCGTTTTGTTGTTGTTGTTGCAATGGATTAAACCACACATCCTTGTCTTTTGCCTCCTTTATATACTAAACCCAGCAAAATCTGAGTAATGCGCTTTTCCTGTGAATATAGTTCATGACCTCATATTTAAGGCAATGCAGTGTATTTAAAAGATCATCCTCCCTGTCCAGTTTTTTGTTTTTTATTTTTGTTTCCTGAAACATTAAAGATGTTGTGTGAGCTCTTGAATGCTTCCTGTATATTTGTCCTAGGTGGGGCTTTGGCATGGCCTCAGCAAGCTGCTTGGATAAAAGTTTAGCAATGTTAGAGTATGTCAGTATGTGACATAGGACAAAGAAAGGAGCACATTCAGGCTTGTAACTCTCTTTAGTCACCTGGAGAGGAGAAAATTATCCTTAGGGTGAATGAACATCCTGTGTAACCCTAATGTGAGTGCAATCTGATGTGATTTGAGTTATGTGACTAAGTAATGTGTTGTCCTTAACCAAAGCTGTGTGCATCAGAATTGCCTGTGGAGTCTCTTTCTCTTTCTCTCTCTCTCTCTCTCTCTCTTTTTAAATACAAGTTCCTGACTCCCATTCTTAGCAGTTGTTTGTATAGTCTTGAGTGAAACCTGACCACAGGTAATTGTGCTGTGTTTAGACGGGGGCATTGCCCCTGGGAGAATGGCCAGTCTCCCTTGTGTGCTGATTTGCTAGCCTGCTGATTTGGGCTATAGATAGGGTGATCCAGGAATTCCACACACTAAACAGAGCTAGCCTAGAGAGGCTGGCCTAGCATTACATCAACACTGGAGGAATCTCCCAACATTTCCTTCCAACTTGCACAAAACCAAAATGCCCACCACAGAAAAATACTGTGACATGCAAATTGTTTAAAACATGGACATATTTTCGGTTTTTATGTGTTTCCCATATGACTCCTCTGACTTTTGGAGCAGGAAGGAGGAAGTCACTACTAAGCTATACGGATCTCTGTTATAATATTTACTGGGCATATCCTGGTATACCTAACTAGACTGGACTCCAAGGAGGCAGAAAGGGGGTCTGACCTGGCACAGTCCCTGACACAAAGGATAATTAATGTAGCAGTTGTAATCAGATCAAATAGTTTCTCTCATTTTTCTGTCTCATTTTTTTGCAATAATTTCAACATTTTTTTAAAGCTTTCAG